GAAGAAGAAGAAGAAGAAGAAGAAGAAGAAGAAGAAGAAGAAGAAGAAGAAGAAGAAGAAGAAGAAGAAGAAGAAGAAGAAGAAGAAGAAGAAGAAGAAGAAGAAGAAGAAGAAGAAGAAGAAGAAGAAGAAGAAGAAGATGAAGACGAAGCAGTATATGCGGACGTAGAAGAAGGGGTGGGAGATCAAGGTTCAGAAGGCGTCTCAAGATTTCTTTTTCTTCTTTCCACATTTGTATAGTTCTTCTTCTTTGTACGGTATCCGACACGTCACCTGATATTGCTGCCCATGTGAAAATTAATATTTCTTGTTCTTGTTATACGACAAAAAAAGACAAAAAAGAAAAGAAAAAAACAACAAAAACATAAACTTTCCGGAGCGGAAAAAGATGAGAATGTCAGAAAAATTACAGTTAGAATAATGACAAAGAAAAGAACTTGACATTTTCTAATTATAATTTTCAGAATCGTGTCATGTGTTATACTTTTTGATATAAATTTGAAGTGTGGAAGAAAAGCTTGTAGGCGTGGTAAACGGGTCCCGTAACGAAAACGATCGTAATCTAAATTTTTTGCGCCCATTTTTTTCCCGATTTCTATTGCTTTCTGACAATTTTTGTGTTGAAAACGGAAAAAATAATATTTTTCAATACAGTAATCCCAGTAATTCCCTTCATTTTCGAATATTTTTTCCCTGCAGTAATCATTTTCATTTTCGATTACTTTTCTCTACAGTAATCCTATTCTAATGTTTTTCCCTACAGTAATCCTTCTAATTTTCGATTATTTTTCTCCATAGTAATCCTTTTTATTTTCGATTACTTCTCCCTACAGTAATCCTTTCCTTTCTCGAATATTTCGCCCTACAGTAATCCTTTTCATTTTTCCATCGTTTTGTATACAAACTCACATAACAAGACAACAAATTTATAGCAATAGGATTCAAAACAACAGAAAAATTCCTATTTGGAAAAAGAAGACAGGCAAAATTGTCAAAAAAAGAGTGAAAGAAAATTGGTACAATGTAAGGCACATTTGATTATAGGTAAAAATCTCTGGGAAGCTGTTTTTTGAACCCGCAAAATGAAGGTTCTAAAACTAGAATTTTGTGTAGGAATAGATAAGGGGAGCAGAAGAAGACACTAAAACGAGATTTTTAGAATGAAATTTCCTGATCTGATTGCATGTGTTTTTGACGACACAGTTGTTCGAGACGATCGATTCCAATAGACCGATCACCTTCCTGTGCAATTTGCCATTGTTGAAGCAGAATATTCATGTAGATTGGTTCGGCAAAGAATCTGGAAGCGTTAGAATAGTCAAGAACTATTTTTTTTCTAATACTTACTTCTGATAATGAGCAGTTTGAGCTGTTGGAAACACCAATTTGAAATCTCCGATTCTATCCAGCTCATCTTCAAATTCCACCAACGCTCGTGTGTCTTCAGGAGTCAGCCGTTTGAAAATCCGATTGTCAATGGCTCCGTGTTGATCTCTATACGCTGCTACCCATGATGCTTCTTTAACCAATTGCTCTCTTGTTTTAGTGCCGTTTCGTGGACGACAGCTATAATCCGCTGTGTGGAGCTTATCGAAACTAGGAGGAACATGTATACCAGCCAAATTTAATACATCTTTAGCAAGTGGAGCCTTCACAGACACATCCAACGAGGTTCCCGAATGAAGGGATGGCGAAATGTTGACTTCCAAAAGCCATGGTTTATAATCTTCATCAAGAATAATGTCGATTCCGAACAATTCGTAGCAAATGAATTCTTGTTCCAAAAATCGCGACATGTGCTCTCTGATAGGCTTTTCGCAAGAAATGAACGCCTTCACAATGACGTCTTCAATCTCCTTTTGGATTTTCTGACTATTCACTCCCATTTGATCGAAATAATCCCAAAGTTGATGAAGAGCCCATTTAGGCACTGGTTTATTGGCAATACCATCTGCTTCTGCCAATTTGTTTATACTGTAGTTGGTGAGATGCATGTATTTGTTTGAGATGTTTGTAACGGATGGGTTGTATCTGAAACAGAAATTAATATGCGAAGTAATAAAACTATAAAACTTACGGAACACTGGCAAACCTGACCAGTCCTTGATCATAGATATACACACGGAGTGGTTCAAATGTGGGTACATAGGCGTAAAGACGGAGATCGAATTTGGCACGATTGATAGTTAATGGACGCTCGATATAACTGAAATATAATTTTTCAAGGTGTGGGCTGTTTTTTTAGCATACTGTTGAGCAACCAATGTAGCCGTTGTTGGGAAGTCTTTCGGTTTTCGAGTTACAGTAATCCCTGACCCTCTGGCTGATGCTGGCTGAAAATGGTTCATTTAACTTGTGTATATTCAAAATCTAATACTAACCGGTTTGATAATAACATGTCTATTCACATCAGTTTCCAAATACTTCAATAGTTCTTGTCTGTCCGTTGGAAGGATGTAGGTGAACGGCATGATTTCGAATTCTTCTCCGAAATGTTCCAGTCGATTTCGAATGTGCATCCATAGACGATCTTTTCTTCCGATGTGAAATGCTCCCGGGAAATGATTCACTTTTTGATGTGGTTGGAGAGCTTTATACTGGGCTGACTTTAGATGACGTCCCCAGTATCCGATATGGAAAAGTGACTCATCAACAATCTGAAAAACAATTATTGAGAAGGGATGAAGGGGTGATTACCGTACTATGTACCTTCAAAATAAGCCCACCCTAACAGTCTACTTTGAGCTTAATTATCTCGATTCCTGTGAAAGATATGAAAGATTTGTCAACTGAGAAATTTCTTATCATAATACCACCAATATTTTATCAGTTGAAAAACTTTTGATATCTTTCATAGGAATCGAGATAATAAAGCTTGACGGTTTGGGTGAGCTTCTATTAGATACGGTAAATCATTATTATGTGAACTCACTGTGAAATGACTTGCAGATAAAGTTTGTCGCATCACAATCGGTAGAAGGCTATTATGACACCATGTCAACCGGGACTGAATTTTTCTAGCAGGTTTTGTTACCTACAAATCGATTGGATAAGAAAATCTTTTTTTTAACTCACTTTAGTTCCTTTTGTGTAGAATCGTATCGTTGGTGGTACATCAGTAAACTGACTTGACTTTAGGAAAGGTGACGAATTGCCGTTCTTCTTCTCTATGGTAATATTAGGAGGGCACTGCTTCTTCTTTTTGGATTTGGACTTTTTCAAAGTTCCAACAATCTCTATGGGAACGTCATCGTCATCTTCAAAACTATCCTTCTGGCGTGATGACTTTGACGATGTGAGACATGATGTGACGAGCTCGCTCAAACCACACATTCGCTGTTCATCTGAAAATTGGTGGTTTTATGTAAATATACCTCTTCAAGAGTCATGTCGCCTTGGGATGAGACGAAGAAAAAATGCGTTTTTATTGAGGAGAGAAGCGGAAAGAAAACAAAAACTAAAAGCTGTCATTCGGCTCGTAGAGCATTGGCACCCCACCAAAAAAACTAAAGATTAGTATCTGTGCGTTCTTTTTGCTTTTTCTTCTTCTTCATCGTTTTTGTTGGTTTCCTCGTTTCATCGTCATCACTCCCTTCTAGTTTAAAACGTATTTATCTCTAATCACTATCATCTCTCTTTTACCACGGCTAAGCCATCAGTAATCTTTTTGTACTCTCACGAAAGTGAAACCGATTCATCACTAGTATTTTTTTCGAAAGAGAAAAAATGTAACATGAGGTGTGGAGGAGAGAACAACAAGAAGCAAGAAGAAAAGATGAAAGTGAACAAAAAAGAAGAGTCGTGATTGTTATCGTCGTGGGGACGTAAATTTGTTTTAACGCTGTCTGGCAACGAAGTTAGAGCCTCTCGTGTAGTGATGAGCAGCTACTTTTTTTCCTTCTTTTTGACCTTTGTTGATTCTTGTTTTTGACTAGAGCGAATAGGAAAATAACTTATTTTCAGATCTCCTGATTTTGGTGTAATAAAATTAAGAAAAAGAATTTTAATAGGTCCCTCATGTTGTTTGAAAACTGTTAAAAACAGGAAAAAATACATTGACTTTTAAAATGAAATAAGTATACTGCTAAGCAGCTGCAATTGAGAATTCAAAATTCGAAATTCGCACATGCTTCGCAATTTATATTTACCTACTGACTTTTCGTCGACCAAGTTTTTTATTTCTAAGACAGGTTGAAAGGACCAGACCTATTTACAAATAAACTACCATATATTTTCGTATATTTCTTAAAGTGTTGAACGAAACGGAGAATTAATTATGTATTCCTGTCATCATATAAACAAGAACTTCAATGATTATGATGATAGATGAGTGGTGGGAAATTGTTATTCAGCAGCTCTCCTCTCAAGAGGAATTTCTAATCGTGGTAAGATGAAAGAGCCCCTAGTCGGAAAAAAAATGCATTTTTTCGCTGATAGAAATTTTCTGTAGAAAACCGATAATAAATTGTTCTGGGTCATCTTGAGAGACACCGCGAAAACAACTTCTGAAGAGAAAAAAATGACGGTAAGAAGAAACAAAACAAACATAGTAATGACTGACTTGGTCGGCGAACAATTGTTTTTATAATCTGGATCGAAACCGAAAGTAGGCAATAACAGACAACGCCGAGGATAGAAACAAGACTAGAAGGAGAAGACGAACTATTTTCATGTTGATTTCAGAAGGAAGCATTTTCTCTTCCTCTCAAGCACTATTAACAACTTCCTGTTATTACCTGAAGCCTCCTCGTCGACTCCATCTTCATAACTCTCGATTCGATTCAAGTCGGCTTCGCTGGATGTGTGCGACACACTTGGTGCTGAGGAATACCCACTACTCATTCTGGAAACAAGGCCATTTTATGCAAGTATATAAGAAATAAGCACAAGGGGATTCGAAGCGAAAAGATGTGTTGACCGAGATAAAGTGTAATACATTGGGAGAGTGCGGGAAGCGCGGAGCAAGCCGGATTCTTTCGGGTGCTCTCTCTTCACTCGTTTTATTTTATTTTTTGCAAAACTAATTTAAAAATTCAAACATAAATAAATTTGTGAATAAAATAATGTGCATGGATGAATAAACCAAATTTTCAGACTTTTAACGACACAAACGATTATGATATTTATTGAACATTAGGGTGTTTTTCTCGATTACATGAAATAAATAAATAAATTAGTCATACAACTTTAGATGTTTTGAGATCCCATTTTACAGGTTCAAGGGGGGAGGGGGAGGGTAAAAGTACTTTCAAAAAACAGAAAAGATCGACTTGTAAAGAGTTAAAAGAAGGAGAAGATGAAAGTATACGTGATTGGGTAGTACTGAATAGGTGGACATTATGCAATCGTATATTTGAAAATAGTCGGTTAATTGTTCCGGATTCCCAAGCTTTGCTCCAATTCGGCTCGTTTTTGTTGAACTTTTTGGTACATGTATCTGGAATTTAATCATGAGGAACTCAAATATTTTAAAGCTCTACTTACCTGGAAACTCCTTCGTCCGCATCATTAGTGGTGTATGTGTTGGCATGACGATCGGCTTCTCCATCACCATTTGATTCGGTCAGAGTTTTTAAGTCGGTGTTCTGGCTGACAACCCATTTCTTTATGAATCCGCTGGGTTCGTTTGAGAATCGAAGGAAGAAGTCACGACGGAGTTTCATTTCGTTGATCTGGTCAACCAGATCATATATTTTTCGATCGAGAACTTGGATATCGTTGGCATTGTTTTGATTGTGCACGAAACTTGCCATTTGCTGTTTCACCGGATCCTCGAGCTCAACATCTAAACAAAAGAAGATTTGAAAAAAAAATAAATTTGATTATTTTTACCATAGTTGCGAAATCTCGGGCCGGCTCGTCGAGAATTTCGGTGGGCCGGGCCGATGAAGTGCCGGCCCGGGGTACCTACAGACGTTGATTTTTTGAATTTTTTTTCGAAATTTTTGAATTTTTTTCAAAAATTTAGATAAAAACGACCTATTTTTCGAGTATTTCATTCTTTGTTAATTTTGTTGAGTAATGCAGCCTTTTTTCATTTTAAGTTCAAAAAAATTTCCCAAATTTTCATTGGAAAATTTTCAACAGTGGTAGGCGGGCCGGCCCGGGGTCGGGCCGGGCCGAGAAAATTCGTCTACCGGCCCGGCCTTTTGCAACTATGATTTTTACCAATGTCATAGCAGGCAGATGTCTTGTCTTGACCATCTTCCGGTCTTTGAATAATATGATTCAATATGAGTGGATCAGGTTGTTGTAGAAGCTGATGAAGACGTTGTGGGATTTCCATGAATCTCATCTTTTTTACACCGAAGCATTGTTCCAAGAACAAATCATTGTTTATAGTATCCCGATCTTGTGGATCCTGAAGCTTGTGCGTTTTGATGTATTGCCAGAGAGCTTCAATGATTCGTGGGCGAGTCTCAGCGGCGATTCCGAGAACTTTTGCAAGTCGTGGATGAAGTTTGAACTTCATTGGTTGGTAGTCAAGAAGAAGAAGAATGGTGCATTTGACAGGACGATCTCCTGGCCGTTTCACTTGGAATCCATCAGTTTCGTTGGTTTGTGGAGTACGATGCCACTCGACAAGATGATTATCCGGACCATAAATGTCTTTATCCAGTTCAATTACCAGGCTCTTGAAGAATGAACTGAACTTTCGCTTCGGTGGAGCTCTTGGGTTAGCACTCGCAGCCGCAGCTGCTCCTCCAGGTTGTTGTTGTTGTTGAAGTTGTTGCAACTAACAAAAAACATTTTAAAATTAGAGATTAACGACTTTGAAATTACCATATCGTCTAGAAGACGTCCTTCGACACGAAGCTCCCACATTGGAACTGAAGCTTCATCGCCTTCTTTCTCCGGCTCTTTTCCGGCAATGAAGGTATGCGAAATGTAGATTCGGAGACGTTTCTTTATTTTCTGCGGCCTCTTCAACGCTTCTTGAACATCTATTTTCTTTCTTGTGATTGTTGAGTCCAACTTTTGCTCGAAAGCTAGCAAGTCCATATAAGCTTGAGACTCCGGAACCAACTCACGGACCTGAATGACGAAGAATAAATGGGATTCGCGATCGAAAAAAAAGCTTACTTTAGGTTGAATTAATTTATCGGCGTATCGTTTCTTCTTTTTTGGCGGTTGAGGACCACGATTGTTTTGCAATTGAGCAGTTTGTCCTGGTAACGGAGCATTGGCTTGTCGACGAACTTGCTGCGGAGTTCCCGGATGGCCATATCTCGACCCTTGCGAGGCTGGTGGCCGCTGTTGAGACTGCATATCTGAAAGATAAATAATTTTGGGGAGATTAAGCGATAGGAATCATTCTGATCCGTCGAAATAGAAGAAAATTGAGTTGCTGGATGAGAAAAAAGGGTGTACAGTTACAATTTATTCGAAGACGCAGTAGGAAAAATTTGACTTCGTGTCAAGACCAACCGAATAAAAAAAACCAATAATTTCAGAATTTCGATCACTTTTGCTTCTATTATTTTTCTATTTCCTCTGATAATCGGTTTCTAACCAGTTTCGGGAAATTTCCCAACCAGATCTGGTAACGCGCATTTGCCAACCAGATTCGAGTAAAATTCCAACCAGATTCGGAAACTTTTTATTTTCCGACCAGATCTGGTGATTTTCTGACCAGATCCGACAGAAAAAGCTCATTTTCCAACCTGATTCGGACAATTTTCTAACCAGATCTAGCCATTTCTGCTCCGGAATTTTCCCGAATCTGGTTGGAAACCGATTACCAGAGTTCAATGCTGAGAATTTAACGAAATTCTTTCATAATAACAAATCTAAAACGAAATTTATATAAGATACAGTTGTGTACAGACCAAAAAATAACAGAAAAGATCCGGGAATCACGGTGAAATATAAAAACACATGCACGAAAAGAGGTTCGCGCGTTGGTTTATCGATTTTGCGGTCGAGTTTAGGTGGCCGGCCACGGGGGTTTCCTCGGCCAGCTGCATTCGAAAAAATTGCACGAATTCGCAAATTGTCAAATGAATGGGGAAAACGTTTTCCATAGGATTTTATATGAATAGAAATACTGATAGAATGAATCCGTTTTAAAAATGCTTTAGCTTGTTTTAGAAGTGTCAATAATGCCGCGTTCAAAGTTAATTTCCAGGAGAAATTTCCTGGAAAAAACTGGTCCAAAGCTGTTTTTGTTTTCCAGATTTACAGTAACACTAAACTACTGTAGCACTCGCTTTGACTGTTTTTTCTGTTGATTCATGTCGATTTACGGCGGGTATTGAAGCGGAGGCCTCTGGAAAACAATGGCAGCTTCACTTGGGTTCAAGCGAGGGGGTCAGAAAGCGCGCCCCAGTAAATTTAGGAGAAATTCTAAATTCGCTGCCGAATTTCGTTGGCTGAGTTTCACAGTTTTAAATGAAGAGCGAAAAAGCGCGCCTCGCAACCAGTTGATTTTGAAGAAATAGATCATGATTTAGATCAAACCCGCGTCCACTTTAAAATTATTAATTTTCTTCTGGCCTACGAGTTTGCTGGGCTTTCTGACCCCCTCGCTTGAACCCGAGACCCCGCAAATTCCGGGGAAAGAAAAAACCGGGGAAAAAAAATCGGGGAAAAGTGGGCGGAGTCGGGGGCGGAGCCTAAAACGCAACCCTGGCACGGTTTTTCTGCACATTTGGACACGGCCATGAGGGGGCGGAGCCTAAATTGCAACCCTGGCACGATTTTGCCGCACGGTTTTTCTCGACTCTGCCGACTTTCCCCGGTTTTTTTCCCCGATTTTTTCCCCGGAATTTGCGGGGTCTCTTGAACCCAAGTGCAGCTTTGGACAGCGTTTTTCCAGGAAATTTCTCCTGGAAATCAACTTTGAACGCGGCTTAAAATCTGATTTTTCCAGATGAGCACATTGTCCTTGCTGGTCGAAGCTTCTTCGTGCTCTTGGGGGAAATTGGCTTGTCAGCATGGTGATCGAACGATTGGTATTATTCTTCGAGCAATTGTCAGGAGAAAAATTCATTTGGAAAATTGCATATTTGGTTTAGGTATCCTTCTGCAACGCTCATCTCGGCCAGTCTGCATCCAACCAGCTTCTTGTTTTCGCATTCGGTCGAAATGTGGAGAAAAAGCTGATATATTCATCTGCTCGATCTGAAGACCGAAATGTATCATCCGTCGTTGTGGATCATTTGCGAGATCTACTACAAAGTGATTCAGGAAATTCGGATGCAACCATGGGTGCTCCAATCGGACCGGCTCTAGCTCATGCCTTTTGTCGTGAGTTCTAGTTTTCTTCTGAAAGATACTGATCGAAAAAATCGCAGATATGAAAAAAGACAGCCAACTGGCGACTGCGGATATATGCGACGACTCTCTCGGTCCTGCTGCTTCCAACACCGAAAAGTCAGACTCGTCGACGGAAAAGGTGTCAACTAGAGCGGTTGTGATTTCAATGACACCGATTATAGGCAGTGAACACGGTATCGAATGAAACTGGATTCTCAAGCCAATCACTTTTTTTGTTTAGGATCTCTCATGAATCTCTTCTTCTCCGCTGCAAAACAATCTATTTGCGTGGATGTTGTTTCTATGAGTGATGATTTGACCGGTGGAATCCTTCAACAAGCCGCTGATATTACTGGAGGATCATTTGTACATGCGGAGAAACCTCAAGCCCTTCTCAAAATTTTGATGGTAACCATTGTTTATAGAGTTCAGTTTCTTTCAAAACTCTTTTCCAGACTAACATGCTCACTGATGCTTCTTATCGAAATACATTCTCAAAGCTTTCCTATTGCGTAAGTCTGGAATGCCGTGTCTAAAGTCGGAAAACTGTACTTTGGACAGTTTTTGAGAGCGAAAGTACACTGCAGCGAAAGCGAATTTGCAGCGAAAGTACACTGCGCGCCATAATTATGGAGCCACTTCAATTTTTGTAACTTTTCTGATATCCATGAAAGTTTCAGAATTCTTTCCGATGGCGATAAATATCATTTCCGAATCTGAAAATGTAAATAACATTCAATTTTATATAGTGAAGCAACGATTTGAAAAAATGAAAAAATGTCAAAAAAGTTCATTTTTTCTCTGCGCCATAATTATGGAGCCACTTTAAAAATCTTGCCATTCTCACGATTTTTTCGCTGTAAAAAGCAGATATTCAAATTTCCCACTAAAAAGTGATGTTTCCAAAGCAATTTCTAAATTAATTTCAGTAGAAAATTTTTCTGTTAGTAATGATTTTCGAAATTTTTTTCACAAAAAATGGAAGGTTTGCAAAAAACAATTTTTGCTTTTTCCAAATTTTCCCCCCCCCCGTCCCCAAAATGAACCATAGTAGAGCCCCCCACCTCCAACAATCTAGACACTTGCAGCAGTTCAAAAAAAGCCCCCCCCCCCCACCAATTCAAATATAGACCACCACTTTTAAATGGTCCATTCCAATTCAAAAAAAGTCA